AGCTGGCAGTGAGGTTGCCATTTCTCTTGGGCAGACCTTTTGCAAGGCTGAAAGAGTTCCGGGGCAGACTGGCCCCCTGAGATGGCCTGAGCCACTGGTCACTGCCTCAGCCCAGGCGCCCACTCTCTGTGGGTTTCTCTCAGGTTTCCGTGGTGCCCGCAGCAGCCGTTCTCACCACTGGGTCCGCAGTTTGCTTATCGCTTTGAGGGAGGGAAAGGACATCGCTACGGCTTAATGCTTTGTTTCTTTTGAGATGGAGTCTCATTCTTGTCGCCCACGCTGGAGTGCAGTGGCGTGATCTCGGCTCACTGCAACCTCCACCTTCAGCGATTCTCCTGCCTCAGCCTCCTGAGTAGCTGGGATTACAAGCACCTGCCACCACGCCCATTTAATTTTTGTATTTTTAGTAGAGATGGGGTTTCACTGTGTTGGCCAGGCTGGTCTCAAACTCCTGACATCACGTGATCCACCCATCTTGGCCTCTCAAAGTGCTGGGATTACAGGTGTGAGCCACTGGGCCCGGCCAGCTTAATGCTTTTTGACATGAGTGACTCCATTCTGAGACATCAGGCTCACAACTGTTTGGGTAGATCTCTCCCTGGCGCTCTCTCATCTCTCCATCTGTCTCTGTCTGCTTCTCCCCGCGTGCTTTGTCCACTGTCTGTGCTCCCCCCTGCCCCCTGCCTCTGCCTCCTCTCCTCACATCCTGTACAGCCTGAGGCTCTGGTCTGTGCCGGGGGTGGCCTGTGAAGGGAGAAGGACAGAGGGTGCTGGGACCTACGGATGCTGCTCCTCCCCAGGGACCATCCCCTTCTCTCACGCATTCCTTCGGCCTAGCAGGGACTCCTTCTTCAGTTTCCACAAACCACCCCCAGCTTTCAGAGTCTGGAAGCCTTGGGGGGTGGTGCCTCAGACGTTCTAAATCAGCCTGTGCAGGCCTCAGGCTCCGAGGCATCCCAGGCAGCCTTGGGGCCCAGAGAGGCAGGCACCTGCTGAGGCAGCACAGCAAGGGGCGGGGAGCACACAGCCAGGCCCCTAGTCAGACCCTGTGCTCCCAGATGGCTTTTTCCCAGGCCAGAGGAAGCACCCCAGGGCAACCATCCCAACTGCCCCCTTCCCCAAATATGGTGCTTTCAACACCTGTTCTCAATCCCAGAAATTATAAACTGAGACATGGCAGAGCTGCTGTTAGAACCCAGGTCCCCTGGCCCAGGCCCCGGTCTCTGTCCAGTTCCAGCAGACACGAGAGAGCAGCATCCCAGCCCACAGGCTCGCGCCTCAGCCACGGCGAGTGAGGGGCAGTCAGGTGGGGACTGGAGCCCTGCCAGCGGCCTAGGTCCAGGGGCCCCTCACTCCCCGCACAGCCCACCGCCTCCCGAGCCTTCGCCCCGTGGTCTTGCTGTTGAGGAGGTGTGTTGTATGCACAGCTGCAGCAGCAGCACAGAAGGGGATGGCAGTCGGTCACACAGGCTCGGGTGTGCGTGCAGAACCAGAGGACGCCTGGACGTGAATACCAAGGGGATAGTGTCCTGAGACAGAGAGCCAAGATGAAGGCCAAGGACAAGATCAGATCCAGGGTGAGAACAGCCACATCACCTCTAGAGGAGGAGGATCGAATCCAACCCCATCAGCCAAGACTGAAGGAGCAAAGACCTGCAGGCAGAGAGAACACTGAACAGAGGGGCTCCGAGAGCAGAGGTGCCCAGGGGAGGCCTCAGACAAGGCTGGCAGCAGCAATGCCCAGCAGAGATGGAGGCCAGACCAAAGCCAAGGCTAAGCCAGGAAAGGTGAGCGCACAGGCTCGCTGGGTTCTGGGCCTCCATGACAGACCCCTGGGGTGATTTGGGCCACACCTGGGGTCAAGCCTCTTGGTCCAAGGGTCTAAGTTTCTCACTAAGTCACATCACCCCGGTGCGTGTTACCCCCATCTAACTTGGGATGGGGCCAGAAACCTTGGAGCTGACTTTTGTGTGTGTACCTTTTGTAATTTTTTTTTTTTTTTTTTTGAGATGGAGTTTCGCTCTTGTTACCCAGGCTGGAGTGCAATGGTGCGATCTCCACTCACTGCAACCTCTGCCTCCTGGGTTCAAGCAATTCTCCTGCCTCAGCCTCCCGAGTAGCTGGGACTACAGGCACGTGCCACCATGCCCAGCTAATTTTTGTATTTTTAGTAGAGACGGGGTTTCACCATGTTGACCAGGATGGTCTTGATCTCTTGACCTCATGATCCACTCGCCTCGGCCTCCCAAAGTGCTGGGATTATAGGCATGGGCCACCGCGCCAGGCCTGTAATTTATTTTTATTGTAGTAAAATATACAGAACATAAAAGTTGCCATTTTGCCCACTTTTAGGCATGAAGTTCAGGGAGGTTAAGAGCGTGTGTGTCTGATTTCACTCACACGATGTCGCCAGGGTTCCCATGGTACAGCGGTGCCAGGGTTTCCTTCCTCTTGGAGGCTGAATTGTATACCCGTATGTTCCACGTTTTGCTCACTCACTCCTGGACTGAGGACTTAACGTTGTACTGACATTAGTGCTGCCCAGAGCAATCCAAGGTTCTGTATCATCCCCGTCAGAATCGCAGCGAATGCTTCGGCCGCTTCCACCTTTTGGCTGTTGCGATTAATATCGCTGTGGACATGGGGGTACGAGCATCTGTTTGAGCCCCTGCTTTCAGTTTTTGGGGTAGGCGCTCAGAAGTGCAATCTTTGCATCCTACGGTAATCCTATGTTTAAGTCTGTGGGGAGCTGCCATCTGGTTTCTACGGCAGAGCCCACCCTATGCCCAGGCCGCATGGTGAAGCCCATTGCTCTAGGCTACAAACCCAGACGTCAAGTTACTGTACCGAACACCGTAGGTAACTATGACAATGGCACGTGTTTACAAAGCTAAACAAACCCAGACGTCAAGTTACTGTGCCGAACACCGTAGGTAACTATGACAATGGCATGTGTTTACAAAGCTAAACATAACTAAACACAGAAACAGTACAAATACAGGAGAAAAGATAAAACATGCTACACCCATAGAAGGCACTTAGCATGCGTGGGGCTGGCAGGAGGGGCGGTCGCTCTGGGTGAGCCAGTGAGTGACAGGCGACCATGGGCCTTCTGTAGGCTTTCCAACGCTGTACATGCAGGGTTCACTGAATTCATTTACTGGACATGATCGTACGTGCTGGGCTGTGTTGTATAAAACTGGCAGTGCGGCAGGTCTGTTCACAGCAGCGTCGTCATACACACGAGTAACGGGTTGTGCTGTGACGTGACAGCGGCTGTGGGGGGTCCAGTTTCTCTGCATCCTTGCCAACGCTTGCTCTGGTCTGTGTTTTTGACAACAGCCATCCTAATTTGCATTTTTAGCACAAGGAGTTGTGCTGTGACGTTACAACAGCGACCAGGTCAGTAGACAGTAGGAATTTTTCAGCTTCATTATCATTTTATGGTTTTTATGTTATATACAGAGGTCTATGTATCTACCTATGTATAGGTGGATTTTAAAGAAATGGCTCATGCAAATGTGGGGGCTGGCAGGTTTGAAGCGTGTGAGGTGTGCGGGAAGCTGCAGACCCAGAGAAGGGTTGATGTCTCAGTCAAGGCAGCCTGGAGCCAGGATTCCTTCTTCCTCTGGGAACTCAGCCTTTTTCTCTTAAGGCTTCTACTGATTGGCTGAGCACCCACCCACAAAGCAGAAGTCTATAATTTACTTTACCAGAAGTCTAAAATATATGTTTCCAGTAATATCTAGACTAGTATTTGACCAAATACCTGGGGAATGTGGACCAGCCTAGCTGACCCATCAAATGAATACTTGAGCTTCCTCACACTGGTGTGACCCACTGTGCACTTTTGGTCACGTGGTGGAACTCAGCCTCCTCCTCTGAGAGGCTGGGGCAGGAGCTGAATGTTCCAACCCTCTAATCCCATGATTGATGTGTCTGGTGTGGTCATTCCTTCCTTTGAAAGAAAGAACTTCAGCTGGGGAAAAAGACCAGAGACATTCTTTTTTTTTTTTCCCATTTATTTATTTTATTGCATTTTAGGTTTTGGGGTCCATGTGAAGACCATGCAAGATTGTTGCATAGGTACACACGTGGCAGTGTGATTTGCTGCCTTCCTCCCCATCACCTACATCTGGCATCTCTTTATTGTATCACAGTGCCTCTGTATTTCAAGTGCGCCTCTTATAGACGGCCCACATTTGGGTCTCGCTGTTTGCCCTTGGTCTGACGATCTCCGCTTTGAAAACCTGAACTGTTCAGTCTGTTTGCAGTCAGTGCGTTCACTGGTGTGGCCGTGGGGGCATCTGCCCTCCTGGTGTTGTTTCCATCTGTCCTTTCTGGTTTTGTCCCTCCATGCTCCTTTTGTTTTTCCTTTGGTATTAAGCAAATAATTAGTTATTTCATTTCATTTCCTCCATTGACTTGTCATTATAGTCTGCATTGGCTGCTCCAGGGATAAAAATTCAGGCTATTGACTTAACAAACTGTGTAGAGTAAATTTTATATTGTTTTGCACTCCTCACTTCTATTAGGCAGGGTGCCCTAGCGGGACAGAACTAATAGTGTGTGTGTGTGTGTGTGTGTGTGTGTGTGTGTGTGTGACCCAATCACAAGGGCCCACAACAGGCTGTCTCAAGCTT